ACAAATAATAATAATAATTAATAAATAAATTATAAAAAAATACAAATTAAATATGAAAAGATGTTGAAAAATTATTATTAATTATTATAAATTATCATTATAAATTATTTTCTATTAATTTTTATTCGGGATATGCTATCTATAAATATATAGATTCTATCAAGTACATACTGAAATATAAATAAAATATATTATACAAAAGTTATTAAATTACTATAAATTAGTCATTAGTTACTTTAAAATTAAATTGATTTACAGTAAAAAGCTTCTTATACTAAAATGGATTTTCTAATTCGTATAGATATAAATGTATTTTAACATATATAAAATTTTACCATATCGTTTTTTCTAGTATAAATATTTTCTATATATAATTATGTTAGAAAAAAATGTTATGGTAATTTATTGGATTTAAAAACAAAAATCTTTTAGTATACAACAAATATCTAAAGTTAATTCAAACATAGAAGAAATCAATAAATATATAAATAAAAAAATCCCTTAATTATTTCTGAACTTACATCGAATAAAGAAGGTAATATATATTTAAGATCCTTTCTAGTTACTATATTTCAATCAAAAATAAAAAAAAAACTTAGCTCTCGAAATGGTTTGAAAAATTCTCATCATATTTCATATGTCTTAATTTATTCCTTTAATTTAATTTGATTTAAGTTAACGTAAAGGATATTCGTATATGCAATAATTATGAACATTTGCCTACTGTGACTATCTGTTTTGACTCATCAGAGGCAATTTGAAAATCGTTAGCCTGACGACAGTTCCAACAGGTCTCCTCCTTAGGCCAACTCCATTTTCCGGCCCACAAATCCACTCTGTTTTCTAACTCGAAATTCATTCTTTTTGGTATTGTTATGCCGGACACGTAGACCGGGCTGGCCAAATGCAATGAAAACTTTTGCGCAAATTAACAAATTTTACCAAACACACGGAAATAAAGTTCTATTTGCCCATGTCGCAGTTTGTTTATGCTCTAGCCTTAGGTGGGCTAGGGAATAGAATTAAATGGGAAGGATGCCGAGGATGGGCAGGGAGATGGGGGTGGTGTGGCATGGGACAGGCCGCAAATGCTGCAAACAATTGTGTTTTTCTTTAGTAAATAACCGGACAAGTAGAGCGGGCTTTGACACTTTTTGCGGCATGCAAATTTAATTGCCAACCGCCTGAAGGCGTGCCGTTGCAGCTACGACGATATACACGAGTTATTTGATTAAATTATGAATTTTTATTTGCTCAGGATTTGTTGCATTTTAAATGATGACACAAATGTTTTTACTAAATTCAGCCCAACATTTATTTATGAGAGAGCTTTTCTCGGGCCGAAAACCAAAATCCATATTCTTATCCGACCAAAACAAAAATAATTACATTTTAAATTGGCAAAATTGTGATTCATGTCTCTTTACACAAAGGATCCCAAATCCTGGGCCGTGCAGGCAGCATTTGAGAATTGACAGCCACTGCTTCATGGTTTTTCATTTATATGTTGATGACGAAAATTTGCAATGCAATCTAAGGCTTTTGGCCTTTTGGGACAACAACCGCCAATAAAAGCGAATACTTCAGGTGGCAGAGACAATTTTACGTGTCAAGGATATGATGGTAAAAAGAGTCAATTCTAATCCTTAAGATGGAGACAAAGGGGAAAAGTAAGGTCTTAGAGAGAGGTGATAAATAAAATAAAGTTCAAATTATAAATCCATGTTTACTTGTTTCTTTGAAGTATTATTAAAAAATATATATTTTATTTTTGAGCCTTCCTGAAACTATGACCAAAACTATGAGACAATTTTTGGAGCTTCGTGAGAATGGACATATTATTTATAAACCAAATATTTTCTTTAAAAACTTTTAAATATGTTTACGTTTTACAATATTTATTTCCAATATTTTATACATTTTGTTTACACAATAATCCATTTAAGGCTCTATTAGAGACAGGACCAATATGCACAGGATTAGTCGGAAAACGGAATAAAGGAAAATGTCTTATTGGGCGGACAAGGTTACTCATTGGCATTGATGACCCAGTTGGCAGTGTCAGCATTCTCACCGCAAAATGCCACAGAACTTGGCCAAGAACTAAGCTACATAGACTTTGGTCAATTCTTAGTAAATTTTTCAACGCATCTTGTTTAATCAAATATTGCTGTAAAACGTGCAATGTATCCTAACAAAATAAAAAAAGAATATCGTTAGACAGTTTGTTAAAGAAAAGCAATGGGGTAAAAAATCAAATTATGCCATCTTGAATAAATATTTTAAATAAATTTAAAAAAATTATCAAACTAAATTTTAAAATACCTTGTAAAAATTTAAAATAATATAACAAAATTTAATAAAATTTTGTAGAAAGACTGTGTAAAGTAAAAGAATTTTATAAGATACTTTAGTCTTAAATTTAAGTTCCAAGCTACATATGTAATAAAATAAAAATAAATAAAAAATAGCTCACTACCTTTAAAAATATGAAAATTATGAATTAAAATCAAAAGGAAGTATAGTTAAAGCTGAAAACAGACTTAAAGGTCATGATAACAAATAGAAAAAAATATAGTAACAAAACCCCTCAATTAAGATGTATATTTTTTCTGTATTTCTTTCTCTTCATCTTTTCACATATTAAATTAAATTAAAAATCTAAATAAAAATAACCCCACCAACCAAGTTTTAATTACATAAACAAGTTAGCCCACACAGTCTCATTTGTAGATCATTGTTGACACAAACAAGTGTCCCGGGAAGCGAAAATAATAAAAAAATAATAGAAACCGGAAATCTCATTTGTTGTACATGCATTTTTAATTCGCCAGAATGGGGTATACATATTACTATAGCTATAGCTTTAGTGGCCGCCCAAGAGTATGCAATAAAATGCGTTCCAGCTGCCATAAAGATAGCTCCGGCAGACAAACGCAATTTCGATGCTTGCTCGTGTACTTGAAATAGATTTTTAATAGTCCAACTGACACAAACAAATAAACATGGACTGCAACTCCTTTTCAATGGCATTGCAGAGAAGAGAGCCTTTTGTTTGCCAGTCGGAAGCATTTATGCGATTTTGTCGTTGGACCAAAACACGAAGATACAGAGATACACCCAAATGCATTAGATAGATACAGCTGCAAAGATACAGATACAGGACAGGCGGATGCATGTGTGCCATTGCAAATATAAGTTTATGAAAAATGTCATTTGTTTGGTCCACACTCAGATATGAAGTATTTATGGGGCACACAGAGAGGGGGAGGGAGTGGGAGCTAGTTGTGAGCACAGCAAATTTGCTGTTGTCGAAATGAATTAATGTTTAACTGGAAACAATTTTCTTTTGTTCTCGACTTCCCTTTTTTGTCCCTCCTCTCAGGTACAGTGCGTTGCATAGATGTAGGTGTCACGTGCGAAAGGGGGTTTGGTTTATTTTTCAGGTTATTAATGGTAAACGTTTTACTTTATATTTCTAATATTATTAAATAGAAGTCTAAATATATAACGCAGTTTGAAGAATAAAATATATAGCTTTTTGGTAATTGTTTTAAATTGTAATTGCTTACAACTAAGATACAAAATGTTTATATTAAAAATCATTTATTTTATACTTCATACATTTAAAAATATTTTTATAAGCCAACCAACCAACCAAAAAAATCAAAAACCCTAAAAAGAAGTCAAAAATGAATACACCAAATTTGAAATCGCAAGACATCGCAAATTTACACTTAATGCGGTACCTCACGTATATCATTGCATACTTTTAGACACTTTTTTAAGATGTTTTCAGAACCCTTGCATTTCTGGGAAACAAAACCTTAACATCTTGTTTTACAAAAATATTGTAACTTCTATGGGTTAATATATGTTTTCATATATCCTATGTTCTTTAATATTATTTGCACAAAAAACTGATAAACTCTTAGAATGTATTTTAAACACAAATAAAAAATTACCTTATAATAGCAATTTTATATTCTTCCTATATATAAACCCAATTAAACACTTTCCAGTTATGAAACGCACTGTACTCGAGATTGATGCACTCCCGAAATGACCCAAGTAATTTGCTGGCCCAATATTTTGTGGTCCTTTTGGCCATTTAACAGGCGAACAACGAGCTGGCGGTAATAAAGTGCCAAATAAATGCAATAAAGCTGTTTGGAACAAGTCGTTGTCGAATTCGCAATTGGTTTGGGGTTTTGTGTGGAACAAGCTTTTCCGAGGGGGTGTATGCATATAAATGTTTTCTTCTTCCGGCTTTTATTACAAAACACACTCAAAAACGGCAAATAAAAAATGCAAAATAAATAAACGCAGCGAACTGCCGAACAATTGAAAACTTTCCCACAATGGAGCGCTGGGACTTAAGTGCTTACTGAAGGAGCTGCAAAACGGAAAGATCCTTAAAGCGAGCTCAAGGATGTGGGATGGGGTGGCCGGGTGGCTGGGATTACAGGCAAATTGCGAAACGTCTTTGCATGTCTTAAGCAAAGCACACAGACACTCCGGCCAACTAATTTTATTGCTCAACACATTCGTGCCTTGTTTATTGCCTGGCTACTACAACTAGACCCCACCTTTCTTTTACTAGAACTTGAAGCTCCTTTCGCCTTTCTCCTGGATTGGTGAGCAAAATTTTTAACAAGAAAATTGTTCAAGTGTCTCGTCTTGAGAGTCCCAATGAAGCCATTGACTGGTGGTTAAATTTTAAAGCGAGCTTGTTACTTTAAAATCGAAAGGCCTTAAGGTTTGTTGGAGAAAAAATGGTTAGCAATATGTAGATTTCTAAGGGTTTATTAAACACGTAAAAGAAAATTCCTTAAATGATTAATTTTCCCTGGGTAAAGTTGACAGCAATTCTTTATTTAATACTGGTCAGGTAATTTTTCTAGTTCTAGTAATAGAAAAACAAGGTAGGCCTTTGTCTACAGCTGACTGACTTGTCATAGGCTGTAAAATCAAAGGTAATTTGTGATTAAATCGGTAGTCAGGTGGATTCAGCCAACATGCCTCGTAGTTTCAGCCGTTTTCTATCAAATCGCTATAATAATGAGCGGGAAAACCTCAACGAACGCTATCAGGGTGAGTTTAAAGTTCGAAAAACAAAACTTATAATAATTAATAATTAACGCCCTTTAGCTGTACTTCCTGAAACATCCAACATTTCCCAGAACCGGAAGCCACGAACTACTTTTACCCAAAGGTCGAGGGCTCTAAACAAATCGGAAATAAACATCAACAAAAGGTTCACCTTTCATTATGGAAAAGTGCATCCGAGCAGTGATTGGCGCCATGGCGATGATATACCCATTGTAGTCCGAAGAGAAATGGAGGAACGACAAGGTGAGCAGCTAATGGAGCTTCAACCGATCTCGGAGGATCACGTGTTTAGTCACACCATCTGGAGGGTGCAAATGCCGGAACAAAGTCTTACATTGAAACCCAAAATCGAAGGTAATCCGAAAGATGGAATCATCACGGCGGTGGCCAAACCCAGAGGCCGTCGTGGTAGGAAACCTAAAAATAATTTAACAGCTCAGGCGACATTGAATCAGAAAACATTAGTGGAGCAAGTTATAAAGCCACAAGAGGTGGAGGCAATGGAACCTCCAACTCCTGTCAAGAAACCAATCGAAAGACGTCAAATGAAGCAGAAGGGTGAGCAATTCACGTGCAGCACCTGCTCCAGGACCTTTAATCACTCCTGGCTGCTGGTTGCCCATATGAGGGTCCACACAGGAGAGAGACCCTTCGTGTGTCCCGAGCAAGCATGCCAAAGATCCTTCTCCGATCGGTGAGTTTTTCCATTTCAGGGTTAGATATGTCATACAGTAGATATCTTTTAAATTTGAAATTAAAGAAAATACCAATCAAAAGTAGTTAAAAAATATATATATTTTGAAATATAATTTATAATTTACATAAGAAAGGTTGTTCTATTCTTTTGAAATCCAAAAAGATTTTAACCCTGTATACATATTTATCAAGTATACGCCTAGTGAAACCAAATACTCTGAGAAATAAGGAATAAAAACTTGGTTAGTTCAATCGATATCAATATAAAAGTATAACTGATAGATATGTAACCCTAGACATATAATAAATATTCTTCGAACCAGACAACTACATAAAAGGTATTTCATAAAAAAAGGCGGGTGAAATATAATATAAAATCAGAATGCTTTGGGAACTTTAACTACATATATACTCTTTTAACATATATACCAATTTTTGTTTATACATGTTGTTAAAAATAAAGAAGCAGAAAACGCACATTTAGAAAAGATATTTGGAATTAATAAATTTACAATAAGAAAAAATCTCTTCTTAAATTAAACTAAAAGCTTAATGAGAAATCTAGCTAAATTTGTGAATTGTTTGAAATAAACGTAAAGTAAATAAGGAACTACATTCAACTTAGGAAAAGATATAGGCTTAAATAGGAATAAATTCCGTCAAAAAACAAAATGCTACCTATATTTTTTTTAAAGACAATTGAATATTCTACAAACAATATGATTAAAGACCTTTAATTGTTTAAATAATAACAAAAGAAAGCTACCAAAAATGTTTCAAAATAAGAGGAATACTATTAATTTACATGTGTTGATTATGGAATATAATTTATTTGAACTTATGTACACATGTTCATTCATTAACAATACAACATTTTTACAGCTCCAATCTTCGAACCCATCAGCGTTCGATGAGCCACCATAATTGGGAGCATCAGTGCGGACAATGTGGCAAGTTTTTTAATCAGATTTTTTACCTAAATCGGCATACATTAGATTCCTGTCGCAAATATTTGATGAGTGCCATGCACAGAAGGTCCTAAAGTCCAATTATGTATAGGTTTAAGTACATTTCTATATTCATTATACACTCATTTTTGTATTTATTAAATCTATTTTATTATGAAACCTATATTTTTGCATTTTAAGATATTTATAAATTAAATAGGTTCCCGATTAAAAGCCCTATAAGCCACGATGACTCTCAGTTAAGGCCCTAAATGTGGCGATTAAGCGTCAAGCCTCAAGGATCAAAATGGTAATGGGAGCAGCAACAGCACATGCCACTCATGTGTCTGGCGAGAAATGTTCCTGCTGCAAGCAGGACTTCGATTCCCAAATGAGGCCGTTTCCTTCTCAAAACTAAAATCAATGATAGAACTCTTAATTACCTGGATAAGATTAAAGATACATAGAATTAAATATAACAAAATTTTGAAGATTAAAAGTAAGTATACAAACGTTAAGGTCTTTTAGTAAAGCTTTGCTGCTTTGTAATTTTAATATAACAATATTATTTGTATTGGTATGCATTTATTTAATTTTCCTCCTTCAAGTCTAAATAGGTTAAGCTAGTAATAGTTGTTTGTAATATCAAGATACTAAAAGATCTATTAGGATACGGAAACCATCAAGTCTAAAAGCACCAACCTAACACATTCGCCTGGCTAGCAGCCATTTTCCGTTGGTCGCATTTTCCACTTAACATTTCAAAGCAAAACGCCTCCGCCGCCTCAGAACGTCAGTTGGCCCAAACGTATTGGCAAAGTTTCAAGTATCGCCTCGGTCCAGACCAAGTGTACACACCCTCGAAAACACACGCACACCCACCGAACACACACACCCAATGCAATTGCGTTCAATGCAACTAAATTGGCTCATTAGCAAACAAAGTGCGGCAAGGAGATTGGGGGGCGGGGTTGGGTTTTCCAGCAGGAAAACCGTTTCTTTGGGCAGCCAAAACGATTTCCCGAGGAGTGTCTACGCGCCGCCTCGTCAATTTGGCCCAATCCTCAAAAGTTCCAAGTGCAAAAGTGATTCAGCGACTAAATCAAACAATGCAATCCTCGATGTGAGAGCACTGGCAATAATTTTGATAAGGATAAGAACCGCACGAAAGAAATATTAAGAAATTAAAGATATTGGTCTAAAAACCACAACATTAAATTGTTTAATGAATCCTAGTTCAGGGAAAAAGAATACCAAGTAATTACTAACATTGACTATTCTAAAAAAGGTTTAGTTTTAAATGAGAGGTAGAGACATATTATATATATTTTTTATTTTTTACCTCTTGGGAATGGAATGTATTTGAATTTTTTGGAAAAATGTTTTTTCAGCCTTTATTTACGTTACATTAAAACATTTCTAACTTTTATTAAATACATTTAAAACAAAAGTGCAGAAAAAAAGAATCTTAGGTAAAAAATATTCATATATTTAAAATATTTTTAATCTTATTAACATTTATTGTTGTTATTCATTTTTATTTATCTTAATAATAATGATTATTATTATTATTATTATTTTCATTAATATTTATCTTAATTAGTACAGATTTTAAACTATAATGAATCAGTCTAACATTAGTGTAATACAAATGAAACATTATTCAATTTCTAATAATAAATCATTATCATATCCTAAAAAATATATGTTTATAAATGCAGTGGACTGTATTATTTTTGTCTTAGGTGTTTTATGTTTATTAATTCATGAAGCGTCTTAGAATAAGTTTTATAAGCGGGTGCGATAAGCGAGCGGTTGCGGGTAAATTCCAACTAGATCTAACTGGCGAAAAATAGAAACGTGCAGAAGAAAATAAGATCGCGTGATGTCCCAATACTCATGCACATATACTGCATTTTGGCTATGAGTGTGAGCTTAAAGCTTATGTTGTATACAAGACAATTATGTTCATTAAACTAGGTATGATTATAAGCAAAATAATAACAAGTAAAGAAGTAATAATTAACGACCGATTAATTCCTCAACATACCGGCCCCCTGAACGACGGTTCAGTTCAAAGGAAGCACAGCAATTTTGTAATGGGGCGCTTGTAAATTCCTCTGGCAGTTTTAACTGTGGCCACACGAATCCTCTGATCCTGGCCAGGATGAACCTCAATAACTCTTCCCAACAGCCACTTGCTTGGCGACTGATTCGGCTCCTTTAAAACCACAAGGGTGTCCAATGCAACATTTGGAGCATCTTGTTGCCATTTCGTGCGAGTTTGAAGAGTGCTGAGATACTCTAAGTTCCAGCGTTTCCAGAACCCTTGAACCTTGGCCTGCAATTGTCTCCAGCGCTGCAGTCTGTCAATGTGTGCATCCAGGAAAGATGGCTCCGGTACCGAAGTAAGAGGCTGACCTGTTAGAAAATGAGAAGGGGTTAGCGGGTTAAGGCTGTGATCGCTGGGTGCGCACAAAGGACGAGAATTCAGAAGTCCTTCTATCTGAATTAACAGGGTCGAATATTCCTCGAATGTTAATGCACTGCTGCCAGTAACTCGTTTTAGGTGCATCTTTATAGATCGCACTCCAGTTTCCCAAATCCCTCCAAAATGGGGTGCAGAAGGTGGGATGAAATGCCAATTAATTTCATGAGTCGAGAAGAAGCTTGAAATCTCTTCATTTTGACTTTGGGCAATTGCGATCCGTTGCATCTCATCTAATTCTCGTTTAGCCCCATGAAACGTAGTGCCATTGTCCGAATATAAATCTGATATTGGCCCACGTCGAGCCCAAAATCGTTTAAAGGCGGCTATAAAAGCGGATGTTGTCAAATCACTGACCAATTCAATGTGTATCGCTTTTGTACATAGACAAACGAAAATTGCAAACCAAGCCTTTCCAAATCTTGGTGTCCGACCTGTAGATACTTTGATTGTTACAGGTCCAGCATAATCCAAACCAGTGTGAAGAAAACAACGGGCGGGTTGAACTCGGAAGTTGGGCAAATCAGCCATAAGTTGAGAACTCGTGTGTCTTCGCTGCATGAAGCAAGTTCTGCAATTAAATATGGTTTTGCGGACGAGGTTTCGGGCTCCTAGAATCCAATATCGTTGTCGTAAACTGTGAAAAGTGTATTCTACTCCAGCGTGTAGCGAGACAGCATGTTGATATCGAACAAGTAGAGCAGCAATGGGAGATTCCTTAGGCAGAATTATGGGATGTTTTGCATCATAATTAGCTATAGAATTGTCTATGCGACCACCAACACGCATTACGTTCTGCTCGTCTATAAAGGGGTTGTATCGAATCAACTTAGATTTCTTTGACAATGGCTGTTCGGTGATCAACTGCTTGTATTCCATTTTAAAAAACTCCTTCTGGACGTGGGTGAATATTCTAGATCGTGCGTATTGTAGTTCCCACGCCGACAGGAACACCGAAAGCTGATTCCTTGTACGAAGACGATGGACGAAACGAATACAGTAGCTCAGAGTCCTCAATAAACGAGACCATGAGGAGGCTTTGTTGATCATACAGGTAAGCTCATTTCCGTCATCGGAAATGTGTAGATTAACCTTTGGCTCGGCCTTTACCTCTAAGCATGCCTGTTCTTCTGTCGACAAAACAAACTTGGCCTTAACGGGTGGCCAAGTTGAACGTGACTGAGATAACCAAGCTGGTCCATTCCACCAGATTTGATGATCAACGAGGTCCTTTGGAAATAGTCCTCGCGATGCGCAGTCAGCTGGATTATCGCCACTTCTAATATGCTGCCAGCAGCTTCGTGGACATGCCTCCAGAATCTCAGCAGTGCGATTGCAAACATATGTGTTCCAAGTCCGTGGAGATGATGATAGCCAATGTAAGACTATTTCAGAGTCTGACCAACAATTGATTCTGGAAATAGGAATAGTTAGTGATTGCTTAACCAGTGAAATCAATTTCGAGAGTAAGTGGGCTGCGTTTAGCTCAAGTCGAGGAATGGAAATAGGCTTAATAGGAGCCACGCGAGTTTTTGCCATTATCAGCTTCACTGCATATCCATTATTGACCTCGACGCGACTATAGATGACAGCTGCATATGCCTGAGATGAGGCATCCGCAAATCCATGCAGTTCAATTGATTGGTGTGGCGCTGCTATGTAACGAGGCACTCGACAATTTTCCAATACGTGCATTTGAAATACGAACTGCTGCCACCGTGAGCATAATTGCGAAGGCAATATCTCATTCCATTCGACAGAACTCAGCCAGCTATCTTGAAAGAGAATCTTTAACAACACAGTTGTGGGCGCAATCAAACCCAGCGGATCGTAGATCTTGGCTAGTTCAGAAAGCAAAGTGCGTTTGGTTAAAGTTGTTGTGATTCTAGGGGTTTCTAACTTGAAGGAGATATAGTCAGTTCTTGGTTTCCAGCATAGTCCCAAAACTTTAATAACTCGATCAGAAGTTTCCTGCTCGAAAGCGTCAGGAGGATACTCACAATTCTCCTGTGGCAATGACTTTAAGAGTGCGGAACAGTTTGAGCTCCACTTTCGAAGTTTAAATTGAGCTTCGCTCAGAAGTAGAATTAGTTCATCTTTGAGTGCAATGAGATCCTTAATTTTATCGCATCCAGTAGGAATATCATCAACGTAAGCGTCTCTGTTAAGAGTGACTGCAGCGTTAGGATACAAATCTGCATAGTCGATCGCAAGCTGCTTAAGAACCCTGACGGCTAAGAACGGCGATGAAGCTAATCCGTATGTGACGGTCAGCAGTCGATAATGATCCAGTGGGGCGTTCTCCTCCTTCCTCCAAACTATACGTTGGTATTGCGTATGCTCGTCTGAGACCAAAATTCCTCTGAACATCTTTTCGATGTCAGCGCAAAATACATAAAGATGCTGACGGAAGCGAAGACATACTCCAATTAAATCCCTTTGAATAGGTGGGCCTATGTGAAGCCGCGAATTGAGCGATTGACCCGTGGAATCCTTTCCTGAGCCGTCAAATACCACTCGGCAACGTGTGGTAGTACTATCTGGTTTAAACACTGCGTGGTGCGCCAAATAGTTGCAATATGTTGAATCCTCAGCCGCGGTAGCTGC